TCACAGTGGTGCATCTGCCTCTTACATAGCGCGGTTGATTATGCCAAAATTAAGGAAGAAGCTTGATCTAACGCCCGATAATATAATTGAGAAAGTGCTTGATACCAAGTTCATTAAAATCTCGTATATTAAAGCATGGAATGCAAGAAGAATTGCGATGACAAAAATATTTGGTGATTGGGACAAGTCTTACGCGACACTACCTCAATATCTTGATGCGATCAAAAGAAGTAATCATGGATCTGAATACAAACTCATAACCAAAGAGATCGATCCGGGAGTTCATCAATTCACCTCTGTTTTTTGGGTATTTGGGCGTTCGATTGAGGGGTTTAAATTTCGTCGGCCTATTCTTAGCATTAATGGCACACACTTATACGGTAAATACAAGGGTGTACTGCTTGTTGCTACATGAGTTGATGCAGATGGTGACTTATTTCCTTTGGCCTTCGCCGTTGTGGAGGTCGAGAACAGTGAAAATTGGGAGTGGTTTTTTTCTTGCATTCAATTATATATTTTTAATGTGTTGCCTCCTAGAAAAATTACTTTCATATCTGATAGGATGAAAGGTATTCCAAAAGCATTATGGAGGAGATTTGGCTCTCATCACCATCATCGCTATTGCTTACGACACATTAGAGCTAACTTCAAAAAGAGCTTTAGTCAGATTCATTTACAAAATCTTCTGTGGCAAGCGGGTTGTACGCCGGAAACATATGTGTATGATCGGATACGTGATCAAATCAAGACAACATCTCAAGCTGCACATGATTGGATTGAGAGAAGTCTGGGCAGTGATTACGTCGACCGGTGGGCACTCAGTAAAGATGGAGGGAATCGGTTCTGCATGATGACAACCAATTGTTCTGAAAGCTTCAACGGGGTACTTAAGGGGGCTCGGGCAATGCCCATACATGCGTTAGTTGCGAGGACATTTTATAGGCTAAATTACTATTTTGTCAAGCGGCGAGAGGATGGAGCAATATGGTCCTCGTTCTTGACACCAAAAAATGAGACGATTTTAGGAGCTCGAGTTAAGCAGGCGAGAGGCACGAAGATTGTTAGATTTGCTGTAGATGAATGGGAGGTTACAGACAAACATGGTCACAATTACACCGTTAATTTGGGAGGTGCACATTGCACATGCACCTGTAACATACCAGAATTGCAAAAATTGCCTTGTCCACATGTCATAGCGGTTACGTCCAAGCAATCGGGGGGTGCAAATATTTCGTATTACACATACGCTTCTGAGTGGTATCAATCAAGCAACTATAGAGAGGCATATAAGCAGTGTTTCCACCCCGTACATGATAGTCGTTATTGGCCACACTATAACGGGCCGCATGTGGTGCCTCCAAGCTATAAGAGACAAGCCGGACGCCCACGATCAGTACGCTTAAAAGGTACTATGGATGAAGGCCGGGAAGGAGCTCCGAAAAAAAATAGATGTGGATATTGCAGACAAGCCGGGCATAGAAGATCTCATTGCCCGACCAATCCAAATAGATAGCAATTAATGGGTACAATTTTATACATTTGTAATTTCATTCTAACTCATTTATAGATCAATGCTTATAAAAAACTCAAACAATGCTTATAAATCAATGCTTATAGTAAAATCAATTTTTTCTGACTCAATTATAGATCAATTAATGGATCATTGTTATATGTGTAGATATTTCAGTTATGGAGGCGGGTCCATTAACACATGATGTTCTTTATGACCAAGAGCGCCACTGATCCGCGAAGATAGACGTCGGGGAGGTAAAGTGCAGTTTTATTATTTTCAATTATATATAAATTTCAATGTAGTTGATTGTTACTGAACATTTGCACTGTTTACTACATGCAGGCCCCGAGTATTACTGTTGTCAATCATACCCGTGCAAACTCTAGCTGGGAGTTGACGGATCCACAGATATAATATTATGTGCGCCAAGCCGGCTTTTTTGAGTGTTCACAACTTAAATGGGTAAGACTTGATTGGGCACTTTTGATGACATTGGTTGAAAGATGGAGGCCCAAGACAAATACTTTCCACCTGCGCCAAGGAGAGGCGACGATTACCTTGCAGGATGTTGGGGTTATACTTGGCCTCAGAGTAGATGGTGATGCAGTGACGGGCACCGATGACTTCAACTATGTCAGGGCGTGTGAAGAATTGTTGGGTCACTGTCCTACAATGAAGGGGGGAAAGATCAAGCTCGAATGGTTAAGGAATAACTTTATGAATGTACCGATCGATGCGACTGATGAGATCATTAAGAGCTATGCCCGTGCATATATTTTACATATGATCGGTACTATTCTGTTTCCGGATTCCACTAAGGATTCCGTGCACGTGAGATGGTTACCGCTTCTTGGGGACCTAGAAGAGTGTGGAGAGTTATCTTGGGGGAGTGCAGTGTTAGCCTACTTGTATAGAGAGATGACGAAAATAGCACTCGTACAAAATAAAGAATTGAAGGGCTGCCTCACTTTGCTGCAGATATGGTCATGGGAGCGATTGCATATGGGAACACCTGATTTGAGGGAGGCCCGCGCTCTCGATGGCCATATTCCGTTAGGCTGCAGGTATTATTAAGATGCATGTAATTTTAGTGCTTTATTTCAATATATACTAACCCGTTGTATATAAAATAGATGGAATGTGTCCAGATCTTGGCAAACCTCTCCAAAGGGGCATGAAAACTTTTACAGAAATGAGCTTGATCAGATGGAGGATGAACAGGTATAAAAATTATAATATCTTAATATATTCAATTATGCGACCAATTGTTACCGATATCTAAATATATTCAATCAATATATCATAATATCTTCTTTATAGGTCAAATGGATGCCCTACGAGCTAGTGTTGGAGTCACTACCGGATATTTGCTGGGAAGGTGAGGATGTATGGCGTGCTCGCATCCCACTTATATGCTTTGAGATTGTCGAAATGCACGTGCCTGACCGTGTGCTTCGACAATTTGGACTACGGCAACATATTCCAGCGCCTGTGGAGAGAATAGAGAGATCCAAGAAAAGGTGCACATCGTGCTAATTGGGAACTAATTCGCCGAAATTACATCCATAGGTGGGAATTAAGGGAGGAACAGGTAGTGATGGAGAGGGCTAATGCACCTGACCTAGGTGTGTACCTGCGGTGGTATTGGGGGATTACTCGCCGGTGGATATTTCAGGAAAACAAAGCCCCGAAGGAGTACATACCAAGAGGCCCAGTCGAGAGAGAGTTGGTAAGTGTATAAGAAAAATATACAATTATTTTCTGAGTTTTCTTTTCTCACCATCCACTTGATAATAATTTTCTTTCGGTTTTTATTTTATAGGTACAAGAGCTCGAAGAGCTTTCTACTATAGCACATGACGCATTGCGGACGACTACCGAGCAGGAGCCGAGGAACATGTTCCTTCGAATGATAAAAAAGATACGGTCGGCTCTTCAGAGGACGCGCCATGCAAGCCGTGATGGACGGGAGGAGCGACCAATTAAGTACGGACGACGACGTCGACGAGGACACACGGGGGCGGGATCAAGCTGTGCGCATGATGAAGCTGGCGGCTCACAGCAGATTCAGGCCGGATGTTCACAGGCGGTTCGAGACGACGCGGATGTCATGCACTCCCAACTTCACACACAACCGGACGAGGAACTTATCCGAGCTTACGTCGAAGGTGATCGAGGAAGGGGGAGAGGAAGAAGAGGGAGAGGGAGAGGGAGAGGGAGGGGAAAGGGCGTTGTTGATATTTGTTAAGTTTCGATGGACTTGATAGGATGTTTGCGTTTGAGTTGCAATTTGGACTTGATATGTTGTTTGTGTTGCGATGGATTTGATATAATGTTAAGTTTGCATATATGAATTGCACGTATTATATTTGTGTTTGTGATTGCATTGTGGATTGATAACAGGAGTATGATTACATTTTAGCATGTGTTATTTGTGATTATATTTTGTACTACAGGAAGTATGAGTTTCTAGGTGAATGTGGGCTGGAATGGGGTCTGCAAAATGGTCGGGGTTGGGAACCCCGACCATTTTGTGCACCCACAATGGCCCTGCGTCTGGGCTCTGCTAAATGGTCGGGGTTGGCAACCCCGACCATTTGGTCCCTGATGCTTGCTGGGCTCTGCTAAATGGTCGGGGTTGCCAACCCCGACCATTTCGTCCGTGGTTGAGCCCAACGCTTGCTGGGCTCTGCTAAATGGTCGGGGTTGCCAACCCCGACCATTTCGTCCGTGGTTGAGCCCAGCGCTTGCTGGGCTCTGCTAAATGGTCGGGGTTGGGAACCCCGACCAATTCGAAATAGGTCTATTACGAATTGGTCGGGGTTCCCAACCCCGACCATTTAGTTAAGCTGTTAGCGGGGGATGGACTAAACAGTCGGGGTTGGCAACCCCGACTGTTTACGAAGCCGATTAAAAAATAATCGACCCGTTTTCTCGCCACGGCGCTGACGTGGCGAGAAACCGGGTCGATTTCGATAAATAAAACCTGATACAGTCGATTTTGCTAATAAAAACTTAAAATAGGGCTACAGTGAAAATTTGTTCACGGGAAAAACGAAGTTCGGGGGTTTCGTTGAAAACATCCCAAAAGTTTGAGGTTTGAAGAAATTTTGTAAATAAACCATTCATATTTTTTTAAAAAATCAACCCCATTTAATTTTTTTTATAAAAATCAACCCACTTTCTCGTCATGTTAGCATCGTGACGAGAAAGTGACCCGACTATTTAGAAGGTTGCAAAACCCCAATTACAACCCTAAACCTGAATATTTTATACCCTGAATAGTCGGGGTTAGCAACTCCGACTATTTAGGAACCAGATTAAAAAAAACCGACCTATTTTCCCATCACGTTGCTGACATGACGAGAAAGTGGATCGATTTTTGTAAAAAAACTCAAGGGAATTAATTTTTAAGAAAAAAAATATGAATGGGTTTATTTAGAAAATTTCTTCTTTGTTTTTTTTTTTGGGAATTTACCCAAAGCATTGGCCTCCGGTGTAATTAGTTGTTCTATTAAGTCGGCGTCCCCAAAATTTTATCTTTATATCCTCCTCCGGAGACTAACATCGGCCTCCTTTCTCCATCCGGCGAAGCTCAATCGATCGTCTTCAACAGGCGAGTCTCCCTCTCTCTCTCTAACCCTAAATTTGGTTCTTTTGTTTTCTTTTTTGCCCTAAAATCCTTAGGTTTTCCAAACAATCGAAGAAATGAAACTTCATCGATTTATGGGTAAATCACAGAAATTCGAAGTCTCCCTTTGGTTTTAAAAGTGACATATGGTTGTCAAATTATATGATATTAGGCTTTACATGGGTGGGGTGTGGAAATGTTTTGATAAGAAGGAGAAGAAAACAAATATAGTTTAAAAAAATTGAATTAAATCTTGCCTAAAATATCAGAAAATTTTATTTGTGATATTTCGGTAAGTGGAAGAGCCTATGGGGTTTAGGCGGTATTTCATAGAATAATAAAACTATTTCATGGATAACAATTTCTTCTTTTAAATGGACACTCATTTATTATTATAGGATACAGTTTTTAACATAATATGGTTGTACATTTTGCAGTTTCTCCATTTTGTCGTAAAACATGATGCCTTCGCTGAGCACAAATGCTTCTATGGCGACACCTTCTATGTGCCCTTTTGGTATGGCATCTTTAATGTTACAACTTTTGTTACTAAATGCTATTCGTTCGAGTTCATTCTACATATTTCAATGATACGGTGTTTGATGCATCAACACTAAGAAGCTATGGAAACGGTCACTTTTATGAGCAAAACCTTGAAACCTTGAATTACATAGGAATGGTTCATGATCTAGTCTTTCACTTGATGTACAGTGAGATCAAGTTGCATGGATCCGATGAGATTCCCATGTGTGAAATATTCATTTGATGTTGTAAGAAGGTTCTTTAGGATGATTACTACTTATTTTGGCAATTGTTTGATGATTTACATGCTTCTTATAGGGCCACCCAATTACATCTAATTGGACGAGGGGTAGGAAGCCAACAATAAATTAATGCGGAGTTGTGTCTGTCCACGCCTGCATATTGATAAAAGACACAGGAAAGATTGGATTATATTTTTATAGTTATGGATCCAAAGAATTGTTGTAATAGATATTCCTTGGTGTATCACAGAGCCGGTCCTGGGTTTTCTAAGGCCCAGGTCAAATTTTCTCTGTGTGCCCCCTTTATACAAATTAAACAAACAAATAAATAAATTATCAATTAATTAACTTTATTAAAATTATAAGATTTTACAAAAGACAATCTTCTTTTCATTGCATTAAAAGAAGGAAAAAGAGTACTCCCGGATTGTAAACATTGCATTAAAAAACAAAAACTACATATTTGAGTCTACATGCTTACTCCCAAATCTCCATAAGCATTTCTTGATTTGATCGATCTACTTTTCATCCTCCACAATTAATCGAAGCAAAGAATCATCACATGTACCTACAAAATAAAAATAGCAATGAAATCTCAACTACAAAACATCATTTAAAATGTCTTCTTGTTGCACTTTTAGATGCAAAATCATCAATTATACTATCATATTTAATGTTCTCTAACATATCCTTTTCAATGCATAATATCGCTAATCCATTTAGCCTATCTTGAGTCATGGTGGTCCGCAAGTAAGATTTCAATAATTTTAATTTAGAAAAACTTCTTTCAGCAGATGCCACAGTCACAGGTATAGTCAATAATATCCTATAAGCAACCATTACATTAGGAAACATATCCACACTGTTTACAAACTCAAGAATTTTAATGGATGTCCATGGTTTATCTGTTTCATATGCTTCTTTTGGTAACATCACTTGCAACACATGTAATTCTGAAAATAAGTCTCTTGCATCAACATCGGAAACATCACCATGTTTTAAAGCATTTTCAAGATTCACACAAAAACTTTTTAATTCATTATCATCAAGCGAAGTCAATTTTGCAGCATCAAATAAGAACCCAAAAATAGATTCAAAACAATGCAATTGTTCAAACCTATTCTTCAATTCACCAAGAGCAATATCCACTATAACAAGAAAATAATCAGTTCTAAATGATTTTTCAGTTGATTGTTGTTCCCTATCACTATTGGAAACCTCATCAAAATGCCTTTTTCTACAAACTTGATGTTTTTTTGGAAATATAGGCTCAATTCCCATATCAAGAGAAATTTGTTTAGCATCAATCATGGCAGAAACAAACCCATTTATTCTATAGTTTTCAAAAAATAACACAAGTCCTTCTAATTGTCTTACAGCAGCATCAAGACGCATGTCTTCAGATTGTAATTTTTTACTAACTAAGTTAATCTTATGCAAAATGTCATGCCAAATAACCAAACTTAATATAAATTCAAAACTTGAAAGCTCTCCTGATGCTAAACTTTGAGCATCCCTACTCAATTTGGCATCTTCACTAATTTCTGTTAATTTAAATAAAGCTTTTCTAATTTGGGAAGCTTGAGATTTTATTGCTTTGACACTTTCAATGTGACTTTCCTAACGTGTAGTTAACAATGATTTTAAAGTCAAACCATCTATGTAATCAAGTAACACATTCCATCGCTTTGTTGAATTAGAGAATACCGTATATATGCATTGACATGCTCCAAAGAAAGATTTTGCTTTAACACATGAGTTGGCCATATTACAAACTATTAAGTTGAGACAATGAGAACCACATGGCATGTAAAATGCTCTAGGATTTATATCAAGTAATCTTTTTTGTACACCTAGATTTTTTTCCTTTCATATTAGAGTCGTTATCATAACCTTATCCCCTCACATCATCAATATTAAGTGTATGGGACTCAATTACATTTTGCAATTCATTAAAAAGTCCTAATCCAGATGTATCTTCAACATTCAGAAACTCTAAAAAGTACTCTTCTATATTTATTGGAGTACTTGAAACATCTACACACCTCAATATTAAAGTCATTTGTTCTTTGTGACTTGCATCAGGAGTACAATCAAGAATGACAGAAAAATATTTAGCTGTTTTTATTTTTTCAATGATTGCATGTTTAACATTTGATGCTAAAATAGCTATCAACTCATTTTGAATTTTATGGCTAAGATAATGATAATGAATCTTCTTATCTTGAATGAGTCGAAAATGGTGTTGCATTACTGGATCAAACTCTTTCAATGCTGCTTTCATGTTGTCTAAGCTTCTCACCAAGATGTTTCCAATCTCTAATTCCTTCACTAGTTAACTGACTTCTAGAATTCATTGTTTTAAACAACTTACAACAGAAACAAAACACTTTATCCAACTCCTTTGAGTACACTAGCCATTTTCGATCCTTAGTTTCCCCATTTGGTAACGTACGAATATAATAATTTGAAAAAAAATGTCTATTGTGTTCGTCCATGGGGAATTTGAGATTAGTTTCTCTTAGGGGATCTTTTTCTACAAGTAAATCTCTCATTTTTGCATCAAGATTATCCCAAACTCGTGGATCATAAATGTTCAAATCAAATCTTGTTTCGGGACATTCATTTTCATGGCAAGGTTCATCAACATTTTCATTTTCATCAAGGAAATGTTCATCACTATTTTCATTTTCATCTAGATCACCAATTTCTTCATTCACATCATTCTCATTTTCTACTAATTCTTCCAATATTGGGTGTTCATATTCATTTGGTAAATCATCTTCATCTAAATTTTCAAGTGAAGCATTGGTTTGTTTAACAAAATATTTATTCAAAGATCCTCTTAAACTTTGAGCAATTTCATCATTTTTTTTCTTTTTTTGTCTCTTGAGATTTCCGGAAAGTTGTTTCTTAGGAAACATTTTTTAATTTTTATAATAAACACTTAACAAAGAACAAAGAACAATAAAACCTGGATTTTGAGCATATGTTCTTCCACTTGAAACTTCCAATTATAAAGATCAAGAATCTCAGCCAATGTTTCTGTTGAATCAAATAATAAGTAAGAAAAAGTTAAAAAGATATGTATTACAAATTTGTCATTTACAAAATTTATACATCTAAATTCTATATGTTATTGTTAAAAAAAGTACCTTCAAAGAAAGTTGTTGCCTATCAGTCCAGTCGAACCCCACGAGGTCAGAGTTGGGGCTTAATCAAGAGCATCCTGATACAAAAGTTTAGATTAAATACTGAACCATAAAATCAAGAGTTAATGAGTTATCAAAGGAAGTTCAACATTTCAGAGCTCATACACAATTGAATAACATAAGCAAAACCCAACTGATTTAATCTAATAGGTAATAAATAAGGATATCAAGGGACTGCCTTCATAGAACCCTAGCTCTGTCATATTTAATGTGAAAGTTTGAAAGTTTAGGGGATTAATATCCAAAAGAACCTGAATAATGACTTTTTTCCACCAGATTTATCACGCATTGATATATGCAACTTGCATAATGCAAGTGCCTTCCCAACATGTAGAAATCAATCAGAGAGATTCCAAAAACTTCAAGCAGTTTCCCCAATTCAATCTATTAATCTAAAAATAAAGAATTTCAGAGAATTTTGAGAAATAGTGAAATACCCAAATGGAGAATCATGAAGAAATATGAAAATCTAGTATCAAGGAATTTCAGAGAATTTTCTTGATTTTTTCGCAGCGCCAGCGCCCAGATCTCCCGCCAGCAGCAGCTGAAGCTCAAGTGGGCCGGAAACCGTCGAATAATTTTAGAGAGGGGAAGGGAGAGAGAGAGAGAGAGGAGAATTTAGTAAAGGAAGAGATGAGGTGAAGAAGAGCTGAAGAGGCGGTGGGTTGATCATGCCTTGATTGATGGGAATTGGCTAATTGGGAAATTAACCAGTCGGCCTAGGGGTAGGGGTGAAGAAGACTAAGAGGCGGTGACAACTTGATGTGAGTTGTAATTGTGGCTTTTTTATTTATTAGTTCATCCCATAGTTTCCTCACCCACCCCTAGTGCCCCCCTCAGTTGTGGGCCCTGGGCTGTAGCCCTGGTGGCCCTACCCCTAGGCCGGCTCTGGTGTATCACGAAGTACCCTTAGCTTATCCATCCAAGAGTAGTTATGTTCTTTAAACTTATTCATTATCTATTGATGCCAGTGTACCAAAGTGCATTTTATTTCTTGACAAATAGGCTTTAATGATGTATTGGTTGAAACCAGAAATTGTGCAATCATTTTTGCATTTCTACATCCATGCAATGACGCTACTGAATATCTTAGGTTCAGATTCTTAATAAAATGTAGTAAAATTACTTTGTTAGGATTTAAGCCTAGTCTTCATATTAAACACTTTTGAAATTTAAAAACATTCATTTTATTCTAGGGAACCTATGACTATGAGGACATTAGCCAATTGCTGGAAATTGTCATGGCTTTTAATTAAGTAGTAGTCCTTCTTCTCTGCTCTCTTAAACTGGTTATACACAGTCCAAGTGGAGCAAAGGAGGAATGGAACTTATATCATTGTTTAGTTCAAATGATTAAAAAGCTTAATACCTGTAGTTACATCCTGTTTATGCACATATTTTTGAGTCAAATGGGAGGGGATTCTATCCTATATTAAGGGAACACACCTAACAGATATGGTTTTGGTCTTCCTTGTATGCCTATCCAAATCCAATGTGATTTGCCTGTGATTTCTTATAGTAAATGCATGGCATCTTTCTCCCTTTCTCTATCCCTCACATGACAGAAAATACTTTTGCATTTGACTGACCTCTTGTTTACGTTTTGGAGACCTGTAGACCGTGCGAGTGATGGAGAGTGACAAAGGCTTGGTTCAATGCATATTTATTTTGATTTCCATCCAAAATAGCTATTAGAAATAAAGAGTCACCTGGAACCATCAGTGGGAACATTGCAGTTGTAACTTGTAAATACGAAGCTCTATCTCTAAATGTACATTACCTAATATAATATATGGATATAGTTTTATGTAGGAGTTGAGGTTGTTTCATTTATCTATTTCCATAATTAGTTCTGCTTATAGGACTGATTTACAATTAACATCTTCACATATTACTATTTTATGTTTAAAAAAAATTTGTTTTGGGTCATAATTCATAATCAGATTAAATTGTGATAGTATCAACGACCATAAAGATAAATTTTTGATTTAAATATTAAGGATCATGGAGAAGATTATGTTATAAGTTCAATTCTACAAATGATGATATGCAAAAAGTCTAATAGCCATAGTTTTGCAAATTGATCTCTGTGAAATGTTGATAGTTTTATTTTTACATACTTAAGTATATCTTCACATTTATACTCCAGTGCAAAAAACCTGGTTCTTCCCTGACTATGGTAATTTTATAGTTTCTAGATCATGTGTTGCATTTATCTTGAATACCTGTTATATTTTTAGGTTCACAGTTTCCACCCATTTTTTCTACAAGCAAATTCTTCTAACTACCTGATTCTTTGATTCAGGGAATACAAAGATTCAAAGTAGGAGCTTCCAACTGACTAGGCATGGTCTGGCGGTGCCGTACAGCCAGCCTAAAGTCGCACATACTATTTCTTACGCATCACGATCACCATCGAGAAGTTTGATATGTGCTGCTGCACTCGTAAGTATCTTTTGGATATATTTTACAAGTAACATGAAATACTCCATGATTTAATTCTGTGAAATTCTGCAATTCATAAACATCATTGATTCATTATACATGAGAGGGCCGAGATGCCAGATTTTTAGTGGAATTGGTTGACATCTTGTAGCAGGCCAGAGATGCCAGATTTTTAGTGGAATTGCTTGACATCTTGTAGCGGGCCATGTAGTTTGAATAGACTTTTTCTTTCTTGCAGGTACTGGGATGAAACTTTTACAACTGATACTGCACTCTCTTTCTGAATAGAATACAGCACCAATATCTTATCAAACTTAGTTTAAAGTTTATCAATTTGTAAAATAACATGCTAAAGTGTTGCTAAATATAATTTTCTATTCAACACTTATTTAAAATTTTAGGTAATAGGTACTAGCCCTTCTTCCAATTCATAATCGTTCAAACTCATGATACTGTTATAAAGAAGAAGAGTTAATACAGATACCGATACCAAGATCTTAAACCTTGGCTTCATACCTGTAAATCTGGCGTACCGCCAATATAGCAGCTTGTATTGGTGTTTGTTAACCCACTCCAGAATGGGGAGAGAATACTATAGGAGAGAAATTTCCTTCATTATGACATGTTTGCCTTACACTTGTGACTTAGGGATAATATTTGTTACTATAACAAACATTTCAAACATTGCCTTCTGTTTACATTTTTTCTTGGGAAATATTAGAAGAATGGAACAAAGAAGTCATGTTTGCAAGTGGGTCATTAGTGTTGTTTTAGGCCTGTGGGGCGTATGGAACTAACCCATGGGGGTTTCAGTAAAATAGCATTTTAATAGCAAACAGATTTAGGACTTTCATTTTATTGATTCATTTGTCGTTGATAGATACCGCAAATGGTGTAACAGGAAACAGAAGAATGTCAAGTCAAATCATTTTAGGCAGATCAAGCTTTGTTTTATAATATAGGTAGTAGGTATATGCATGTTTTGTAATTGTAAATCTTTACTGCTTAAGTTGAAAAATAAAGGCAATTCTTCTTATGCTTTTTGAACAAAAGCTCTCCTTATATAAATAACCAGTTATACCTCCAGTTTGACCACATTCCTTCAAAAAATGCTTTAATTGTGGTGTCAGCAAAAGACTAAGAAATGAGTATTCGCTCTTAGTCATATACAGATGGCCCTATGTCTGACATTTCGTATCTTTTTATGCATTATTTAGTAGCCTCAATGACAAAACCAGCACTTAGTGTGATGATGATGTGAATGACACAATTGAATTGAATTTATGCATGAAAAAATCTATCAAATTAAAAGGTCCAGTAGGAAAAAATGTTCTAGATAGCATATCCTTCTAACCACAAAACATCCTTTTATATGGATAATTCTGTCCCAAGTATTTGAAGGAACATCGTTGAGATTTAGACAATTAATTGCCAACGACTAGCCTCCTTTGTCATTGTGGTGGTTGTATGTCAACATTTCTGTAGAAACAGCTTTTTGGGCCATCCATTATTAGAACGAGGAGGTATTAGTAACCGTAGTTTATCGACATTGCCACAAAATTGTTCTTTGAGCTCAGTTCAAAAGTAGGATCTGGCATCTTGTAACCCCTTTCTTCACCTCACTAAATTACTTGACTATTTCGGATAGTGGATGTGTATTGTTTGGCTAATCGGCTCTTCCCACACACCCTTTGGAACACTGCAATAGACGGTGAGGGTTCTGCCGGTTTGGTTGAAGATAAAGATGCAAAGCACCTCCATTCTAATTGTTTTCCACTCAAAATACGTATTGCAGAACTTATTTCTATTCACAGTCTTCATGATTCATATGGTATCATACCTTAACCATCTAATTCACAGGTTATTTTACGTCAACTGTTTGTTATTTATACTCTGGTAAGCATCTCACTAGCTTCTGCATAATGACCATCTGTTGACTGTTGACAGAATTGTCAAGGCTTAATTTTCTTGTCAAGTTTAGCTATTGCTTTCATAAGAAGTCACATCCATGGAAGAGCTGGGAAAAGGTTACGTGATATATTGTTTGTTTAACTTAATGGTGTCATCCCGTAAGTGTTTTGAGTACCTTGGTGCCATGTTGGGAGAGAGGCGTTCAGTTGTTTTATCACCTCTTGCAAGTGTTGCCCTCACTTGTATCATTACATGCATGGCTAAGTAGGTGGTCATATACCCTCTTACATTAGCACCTACAGACTATTATGAATAACTTTTTTCTTCTCTACCATGGTTTGAAATGTGTGCTTGGATGCCCTGTTTGGGTTGTTTATGGCACTTTTTAAAATTGTGGATGATCCGTTCCGTTCAACTTGATCTACATATTCTAAAACCCCAACACACCAAATTTGGTGTGAACTCGTTGTGGTTTGACCCTCCGTCGAGCCATGTAAAAAGTTCTATTCACTCGAAACCGTTAAAATTGATACAAATGGATGAAGGGTCAAACTACGACGGGTTCACCCCAAATTTGGTGTGTTGAGGTTTTAGAATATGTAGATCAAGTTGAACGGAACGGATCATCCACAATGTAGCTCAATCAAGTGATCATCAATGGATAAGAGTAAAACTCCTATAAACTTAAGTGGGCAGGAGCCCTTTGTCCACCAACTTTTTTATTCATTGATTTTGCATTGAGATTTGTGCTAGCATATGATATAAATGAAGACACAAATCTTAAAGATAGCATTGATGTGTAGCACAAATCTTAAAGATAGCATTGATGTGTAGCACAAATCTCAAAGCGTAATGAAGGGATAAAAAGTTTAGTGGACAAGTGCTCCTATCCACTTAAGTTTATAGGAGTTTTACTCTCTCTCTCTATATATATATATATATATATATATATATGTATGTATGCTGGTATGTAGCTGGTTTACCAAATTTAGCAATACCGGTATTTGGTAGCTAGTATCTCAAGCACTTGTTTGCAGGTATTTCCAGTTCTTGGTGGGTTGGAGGATACACCAGTAGATAGCAAGTGATGAGTAAATATGATGTTGCTTTTACTGTTCAAGTTATTCTAGAATTACGATTGACAACCGATATAGCTGTTTGTGGCTCGCGCTGTATATCTATGTACTATTATTGTCTCCTTATTGCGTTCTGTACCCTTTTTTAATCCTATATACGTTTTCAAAATAGGATATGATCTATCTATTCTGTTCGTATACATTTAGCGTCAGCTTATTAATGATTTTTTATTGTAAGGCTTCATTTTTTCCCTTCTTCTTGTTAGTCCTTGCTTCCTTTGTTTTCCTTACTCTTTTTTTCTGAACATTTACTTTCCCTGCTGCAGAATGCAAGATGTGCAGAAGGGCAGACCCAAACAGTGACACGCCAATCATCAACAATCACTATTGCCCCAACGCAAGGTAAATTCAAAGATAAGCCGCCTGTGCCCTGTGGGGTAATATATTTTGTATTTAATTAACGAGAATTCGGGCAAAATTGCTGGGGTTTTCAGGTAAGGAGAAGTCACCGGAGCTTGACGATGGAGGGACAGGGTTACCTCCGAGGGATGATGATGGTGGCGGCGGCGGAGGCGGCGGAGGAGGCGGGCCTAACTGGTCTGGGGGTTTCTTTTTCTTTGGTTTTCTTGCTTTCTTGGGATTACTCAAGGATCAAGAGAGTGAAGGACCTTATCGAGATAATAGAAGAAGATAGAGCTTGCCCAATTATCTACAGGATGCTTCATGTTGTCTTTTAAGATTGAAGTATTAAAATTGTTCTACTCATTAATACATACAAGATTTTCTATGCCAAGTCAGAGATGGGGGAGCCACCAAAAAAAAAAAAAAAAAAAAAAATAATAAAAATAAAAAATAAAAAGTAAGGGTGTTTTTTCAATATTTTTATCCCTCTAAATCTTTCAAAGTATGATATTAGCCCCCCATGTTTATCATATTTTGAAATCAGTCCCCCAGGTAGATGTCCTCGTCCGAGAGGGTTATTGGGAGGTTGAGATCATTGATCTTTTGCTTAGGAAGGATTTCCGGATTTTTTTTCTCGGAAGTGAGGGCGAGAGAGGTAGGGGAAATTAAGGTTAGGGGTTGATGATTGGGAATTAGGATTTGGGGATAACGCTAGGGCTTGGAGATTGGAGTTCAGAAATTCATTGACTATTTTGCTAGCGTTTGGAGATTTGGGATCAAATATTCATGAGAGTCTAATTCAAAATGTGCAAGATTTGGAGGACTGATATCTTATAAACATTTCAAATTTACAGTTATTTAGGACACATGTGCTTTGCATATGCTTTATGTTGGGGGTAAAAAGGAAACAACACGCTTGTTTTTTGCTGAAAAATTGATTTGGTGTGACATTACAAACAAAACAGCAAGCAAATGTAGCTTGGATTTAACAAAAGAAGAAGAAGAAGAAGAAAAGAATAGAAAAAAAGATGGTATGGATCAATTTGAACAAAAATTAAGATGGTTTTTACGTAAAAACCGTTATTTCTACTATCAACTAGAAGATAACACTCGTATCACTGTCACGATATGAAATCCTCCTCTTTTTAGGGTTGTTAGTCAGATGGCACTCAAAACTAGAACTAGGATAATTTGTAGGATAAAATTTTATAACATTAATCAATTAGAACTAAAACTAGAACAAAATTTTATAGTGTTAGTCAACAAGAATTCTAACAAAACTAGAACTGAGATAATTGTACAAAATTATCTCACTTTTTTATTTTTCTATACAAAAATAAAAGTTCTAATTTCTCAGATTATCCCAAATCTTAGCTTAGAACTAGGTGATAAAAAATAGAACTCATATTTATTTTATTATCTTTTATTTTTTATATTTAGTTTTTTCTTTACTTTTCCCTACTATGGTCATCACCACCATTAGACCATGCCGTCAGATCATATCTCATCCGCTCTTAATCATCTCTGATATTTTCTTTTTTTTACCAAATAGTGTAATTATATAGTTAATTTAAAAGTAAATATTGCATCAATCCATAATTTATTAAACCATAAAATTGAGAGATGAAGGAAAGAAATCTCAGGGATGTGAAGAAGGAAGGAAAATGTGAACTTTTTTAGATTTGTACTACAATAATAATTTTAAAAAAAAGCTACAACATATATTATAATATTAATTGTCAATATCATATGGTCTAACCAAAAGTTATTTAACAGTAAATAACATTCTCGTAAATAATTATCAATCAATAATTAGTAAGATTAAAAATGCATAAATAATATTTATGTTCTCAAAATGCATAAATATATACTTCATGGATATAAAAGTTTATCCTACATTATTTTATTAAAATATCCCGCTTCACGAAATTGTTTCTATTTATTCCACCAAAATATCCCACTAGCAAAAAAAAAAAAAAAAAAAAAAAAAACACGTTCCACTTTAGCAATTATTCCACTTCGCATGAAAACGTCCTAATTGACCAACAACCACGAACAGAACATGTAAAATCTTGAGAAGACTGCTATATATGAATACCATAAAAACAGAATTAGCCACTTCTCATGCCCCGAGTTGCACTCAAAAAAATCTTCTCATTCTTGGGGAGCCATCATGTTGATTCGATGAGCTGGGTCTCTGATCTGGTTGGTTTCGCGGTCCTCGCCTCCCTGCACCGTTTCCTCGACGAAATCGGGTCCTCCGACCATTCAGATACCAGTTATACCTCACCTCGACCGAAGCTATTAGAGTGAATAATACCCACAAAAAATAGGAGGGGCCAATGTTAGCGAGTAAAAAGTTATTAAGGTTAATTGCGCATAGGCCCCCGACAGCATCCCTGTTTCGCATTTACTACCCTTGAGGCTTCGCTGTGGCAGCGAGTTAAAATCTTTTTTTTCCCTACTCTTTTACCATCAGATAAACGCACTAATCTCACCCGAGGGGGTAAAAGGGTCAAAGAAATTCAAAACACGATGAAAGTACAGGGTGGTAAGCGCAAAACATGGGGTACTACAGGGGGTCAATGTGCAAGTTACCCAAGTTAACTGTGCATGAAGAGGAAGGCATTGGTGGTGGTTGTTTCGTACCGGCTGATTGCCCATCAAACGCATGCTGATACCTCTGGCGACCCATCGCATCGGCATATGCTCGACGTTCACCGTGCCGATGGAACAGTTGGGAGCCGGGGCCTGCTGGTCTAACACCAGTTGTTGATTGAGCGCCCGTTCCGTATGGAGTATTCATTGATGAAGAGTTAGAGGGGAATCTAGAGGAATAAATGCAAGTATATTGGATCACTTAGGAGCATGTAATATATTTTATCCCACAAAAAAAAAAAAAGAGTTTCCTCCCTGAACAAGTAATATTGAAGGAAGTAGCATGCATGCGAGACAATTATTGGTCGGATACATGGCATCAGAGACCACCGTTTACCTATGGGAAAATTTGCAAAATAGTCCGTTTTTGCTAATTATTTAGCAAAATAGACCGTTTTGCTACATAATTAGCAAAATAGACATCTTTTGAAAAAAAAGAGGTCGATTTTGAAAAACAAGACTTAGAAAACATACGAGACTACTAGTCCCGTATGTTTAGAGCCAACTTAATCACGGATTAGTGACTCAGAAAACTTACAAGATTAGTAGTCCCGTATGTTTTCTGAGTTGTTTTGCAAAATAAACCTCTTTTTGGCCTGTTGGTCAAAAAAAGGTTTATTTTGCTAATTATTTAGCAAAACGGTCTATTTTGCTAAATAATTAGTAAAAACGGACTATTTTGCAAATTTTCCCTTTATCTATTATGCTAAAGAATGACAATGAAGACTGCCTGTAAAAGTAAAAGAAAATATTCACACTGGTTTACTTACCGCATCACCCGCTCCCGGTCCAGAGTCTGGTGATTGAGCGGAAAGGCCCCTTGCAAACCATCTGACCCGAAACCACGACCAAACCTGCGTGCCATGTTCCTCCGCAGATAAGGAAGACGACGGACACGAGCAGCAGGCGAAGTCCCCGTATTCTGGGTGGTAGATGATGGTCCGGGGATATCATTCAAGTCAGGAATAGGCGAAGGAGCCTGCAAAAGACGCGTGAAGTATTCCGAAGGCTCGTGCGGTGGAAGATCTGGTGACATCGGTTCAAGCTGGAGACCGCGATCTACCAAATGAAACCAATTCTTGCATGATATAGTAGTAGTATAACCAACATGAACGGTTAGTGTACAATAATATGTTGGATGTAAACTTACTTTCAGCTGTCCTCGAGGATTCTTCTTGCCTGCAGGTTTTCCGGTTTCATGAGGTCAGAAAGTTCCGTGCATGGATAATGAATAAATATTTATGTAAGTTTAGAAAAATTCAGTCGTTTGAAGTTCTTAAATGTAGAATATGACACTTTAAATATCTACTCTAATCAAATTTCTGTATTTTGAATTTGCATCAGGGCATCCGTCGTTAAGCCTTCTTCCTCTTAAACTAAAATAAAACTATGACCCCAACAAAATTGATTACATAAACGAACTCAAATCTGAGCGTGAGGAGTCTTGTTTCCTAAGCAACATCCTCAATGATAAGTGATGAAAGAATCCAATATAAACGAGTTCGATCACATAAAAAATATGCCCATTAAAGCTATAACAACAAATTATGCCTATATTAGTAATAGTAATAACAAAACCCTATTACGTACACTAGCAAATGCTCATTTAATGATTTGAGAGTTTAACAGATGCAACTAACGAAAGTTGTAATTGACTAGACCAGAATTTTAGAATTTGTTTCTGAAATATGAGGTGAAGAGAATTGTATTCACTTATATTACATGAGAAAATAACATGTATTTATATACAAACTAGAGAAGCTATTCTAGGAAACTAGGAGAATATAGGAAACTAAAATAATTACAATTAATCCTAATTGACAGCTATCTAATTGACAACTATCTAATTGACAGCTTATCTAATTGACAGCTAATATATAACACTCCCCCTCAAGCTGGAGCATAAATGTTAATCATGCCCAGCTTGTTACAAAGATAATCAACCCGCACCCCATTTAAAGCTTTTGTGAAGATGTCCCCTAGTTGTTCTCCAGTCTTTACATATCCTGTGGAGATCAAGCCTTGTTGAATTTTCTCACGAACAAAATGACAATCAATTTCGATGTGCTTAGTCCGCTCATGGAACACGGGATTAGATGCAATATGAAGAGCAGCTTGGTTATCACACCACAATTTCGTTGGTACTGAAGTTTTAAATCCTACTTCAGTCAATAGCTGATATATCCACATTATCTCGCACACAGACTGTGCCATAGCCCTATATTCTGACTCTGCACTGGATCGTGACACAACATTTTGCTTCTTACTCTTCCAAGAGACCAAATTTCCTCCAACAAAAACACAATAACCTGAAGTGGATCTTCTATCCATCTTGGAACCTGCCCAATCTGCATCTGAGAAACACTCAATATGAGTGTGCCCATGATCCGCATACACGATACCTCGTCCTGGTGCTCCTTTCAAGTAACACAAAATTTGCTCTAATGCTGCCCAATGATGAATTGTTGGGGATGACATAAACTGACTGACAACACTAACTGAGAATGCAATATCTGGACGAGTCACGGTAAGGTAATTCAACTTTCCAACCAACCTACGATATTTTTCAGGGTCTTCAAATGGTTCCCCATCTCCTGTAAGGTGCAAATTTGGACTCATTGGAGTACTGCAAGGCTTTGCTCCCAATTTTCCTGTCTCAGTCAATAAGTCAAGGATATATTTTCTCTGAGATAGAAAAATACCTTGTTTACTCCGAGTGACTTCAACTCCCAAGAAATACTTGAGCACCCCTAAATCCTTTGTGTGAAACTGAGTATGAATGAAAGATTTAAGGGATGAGATTCCTCTAGTATCATTTCCCGTAATAACAATGTCATCCACATATACAACTAACAGAATGATACCAGCAGTTGATTGTTTATAGAACACAGAATGATCTGACTTGCTTTTCAACATACCAAATTTCTCAACAGCCTGACTAAATTTTCCAAACCAAGCACGAGGACTTTGTTTCAAACCATATAAAGATTTTCGAAGACGACAGACTCGCCTTGACTCCCCCTGAGCAACAAAACCAGGAGGTTGCTCCATATACACCTCCTCCTGAAGATCACCATGAAGAAAAGCATTCTTGATATCTAGTTGATGTAAAGGCCAATGATGAGTAGCTGCCATTGAAATAAACAATCGAACAGATGTCAACTTAGCAACAGGAGAAAAAGTATCACAATAGTCCACTCCATAGGTTTGAGCATAACCCTTAGCAACAAGACGGGCCTTCAATCGAGCAATTGATCCATCTGGATTGACCTTAACAGTGAATACCCATTTGCACCCTATGGCCCGTTTTCCTAAAGGTAAATCGACCAAGTCCCAAGTACCATTGACATCTAAAGCATTCATCTCTTCTATCATTGCATTATGCCAACCAGGATGAGATATGGCTTCACGAACAGTCTTAGGAATAGAGATAGAATCAAGGGAAGCAATAAAAGAGCAAGAGGAAGATGACAAGTGATTATAAGAAACAAAAGAAGAAATAGGATAAGTGCACTGACGTTTACCTTTACGTAATGCAATAGGAAGATCATCGCTTGGGACCGGATCTAATGACGAAGAAGCAGGTGCAGGACATGAAACAGGAGGTGGACGCCTGGAGTACACTTTAATAGGAGGCATATCAGGAGCTGTGACTGAGACAGATTGAGTAATAGGAGACTCATCAGGAGTTGTGTCTGAGACAGGTTGAGGAATAGGAGACTCGTCGGGAAGTGTGTCAAGGTCAGAAGATGTGATAGAATATACCAATAAATCATCATCCTCCCCCTGACGAGTAGGAATAGATGAAGACGAAAAGTAAGGTGAGTTTTCCATGAAAGTAACATCAATTGAGACAAGATATTTGTTAAGATTGGGACAATAACACCTATACCCTTTCTGAAGACGAGAATAACCAAGGAATACACACTTCAATGACTTGGGATCTAATTTGGTGACATGTGGACGAACATCTCGAGCAAAACAAGTACTACCAAATATCCTAGGATCAACAGGAAACAATGACTTACCGGGAAAAAGGATTTTGTAAGGGATATCACCATTAAGAACAGAAGATGGCATGCGATTGATAAGAAAACATGCTGTGGAAACAGCATCGGCCCAAAATTGTTTAGGAACATGCATTTGAAATAAGAGGGCTCGTGCAGTTTCAAGAAGATGTCTGTTTTTACGTTCTGCTACACCATTTTGGGATGCAGTATCAACACAAGAAGTTTCATGAAGTATGCCATTAGAAACCATATAAGAGTGAAATAAAGCAGATGTATATTCTTTGGCATTATCACTTCGCAAAGTACGAATTGAAACATTAAATTGATTCTTAATCTCAGCACAAAATGCACAAAATATAGAAAACAACTCAGAACGATTTTTCATTAAATATAACCAAGTTATACGAGAGTAATCATCCACAAAAGTTAATTCATAGTGAGAAAACATAACATATAAGAAATTGTAATTCATAGTGAGTGATCTAATCAACGATATATTCTCTCAAAATACGATGTACACTATCAGCTGACATGAATTTGGTGTAGTGGTAAAGAAAGAGCTTAGGGAACAATCATAAGTTCCAAATCAAGTTTTTTCCAGCATTCTAAAAAACAGTTAGTGGCATCAATTTACTTGGAATCAGAAGTGTAACAGATGAAGTTTTATTTGATAAACCAATCACCAAACAAAATAACTTAAAACAGTACATATAAGAGAATATACTTACTCAAGTGTCGGCAACTGAACTGGTGCAGATGCATTCTGGGAAACTGCTCCAGCCGACTGAAATTGAAGCGAGAAAAATAAATCCTCAATATTAGAACATATTTGTGCATACACTTACTTCAGCTTCTGCAATGGGTAAAGTACTTCATAGATGAAAATATTTCAGTTTCATTTTGTGTACCTTCTAAAATATGACAATCCCCTTTATATAATTCAACCTCTCATGTATATATGGAACAGGTACATGTTTACTTCATCAAGTAAGTATACTTCTCATTAACAGCACATGAAGACAAAAATATAAGAAAGAAAACAAGCATGGTGAGCAACTAGGAATTCTAAATCATCTTTCCTCCTTTTATCGAAGAAATCTATAATACCAACTATACTATCAAACTAATTAGATAAACAGGAAAAATAAGAATGCTGCAGTAGTATAACAAGACAACGATCAACATCTAAACGAAAAGAATATAGAACTGGCAGAAATAAACATGAAATTCTGACTAACCAATTACCTATTTTGACAATAAAATTTAATGGCATTAAGCAAAATCAAACCTCAGTATCAGACCATAAAGACGCAATTACCATGCCAGAGTTGACTTCATCATTGAGTCCCCGAATTATCTGTAGAACTGCATATTCAAATGAAATATGGACATCATGAAATCTCCAGTCTCCATCCTCAACTCCTCGGCAATTAGGACACTGCATGCAACCTTTTTCATTAAACGCTGAACCAATACAATCTGCAAAAAATGAAAACGTAAGAAGCATGTATGCGTAAAAATAACCAGGTAAACATAAAGATAGATACATGGGTCACATGTTGCATGTTTTAATGACAGAAATAGAAGGGCTAAACAAGGTAAGGATGAAGGACTATTCATGACACAAATCTAATTGCAGGGTTTGATTTTACTACTAATATAGACTTGTCAGTTGCAAAAGTTACTATATTTTCAAGCCGACACTAAATCAGATGAGTATGTAGGGATTAGGATGCCTGCCTATACATAGCGCATACTAGTGACTGCCAACGAGAGACTGATAATGAGTTGCACTTCCTCACAACTCCTTTAAGAAAATAAAACTGATGAAGACATTTTTACCATGTTATGAGACCGCCAGAAATCAACAAGTCTTGTTAATGTCTGTATGATATATGCCACTGAGCACCACTTTCCGTTAACAACCATCTAATTCCTCTCTTCCCAAATCAACCATAACAACGCTAGTATAGAACAACTATATTCACTTTGAAGATTGTGGGGGATGTTGGACATCCTCCAACCATGTTAGAACTCCATAATAGAGAAGGACTACATAGGATGGCGAATCTTTGTATAAACGCCACACTTCTCTTGGGAAATAATATTCTGATAAATGTGTAGGGTAGATTCAATTGCATTATAACAAAAAACACATGTTGAGGGAACATTCATTCCACATTTTATCCAATTTTCTTGGTGGACAGACAGATCAAAGAAAACCAACCAAACATGAATGCAAAGTTTGAGTGAGATCGGGTTCACCATAAGCGGAAAAAATGGATAGACCAAGCTACGTAACTACTTAGGGCTTGATAGAGAGAGTGAACCAGAACGTTGCCATTACTGAAGGTTCCAAATTCTTTTGTCTTCATGATTACCTTGTGGTTGTGGTTGAAGAATATTCAACAGTTCCTGAAGGCATTAGAGAAGATAAGGGGACTCCATTGTTGGAATGAAGGAGTTCAAAACTAATTATTCATCATCCACAAGCTTCAAGAGATAAGTGCGATAGCAAGTGAAACAAGTCCGGAAAGATTGTTGCAAGACAATTTGTTCTCACCCAATATCAAGCCAAGACCTTGTTGATACACCATTACCAATATCTATTATGATCCCGATAAAGAAAGGTGAGATTGGTTTTAGAACTTTGCGCCAAATAGAAGAGACGAGATCGTTAATACAGGAGGCTTGGTCATGTTTGTGTCTCCTTCTATCATATGTGTGTCTCGCTTCGACTTGTTGCTAAAATTGTTCAGCAACATGCAAGGTGCAAAAAAGCAATGCTAACTGTACCACAAATGTCTTACGCCTCGTTTGGTACATGAGAATGAATGGGAATGGAATGTCAATTTCCACTTCTCATTCCTTCAATACCAAACACGACCTTATTTTGAAAGCTAGAATGCTCATTCACACTTCCCCTCTCATTCCCACTTTATCTGGGAATGCACACTCCCAATGAGATGGTAGGAATCGGCTAGCATTCCCAAGTAAAGTGGAAAAACACAAAACTTTCAAATATATCCATTCCCACTTCATTCTCTAAGTTGCACCCGAATATGAGAATGGAAATGAGCATTTCATTCCCACATTAATTCAATTCATTCCCTTCTTCATTCCATTCTCACTTCATTTGATTCCAGCGTACCGTACAAGGTGTTACCGACTTAAAACATCGTACAAAAATAGAATGTATAGGTACTGACTACAATCATAGGTGGCAAAAATGAGTATAAGCGGCAATGTCTTAAAAAGTGTCACGCCGTAGAGCCTCAGTCGCTCAGCCAATGTGATTTTGTACCTTATTGCCTCGCACATCCTAAGGTGAAGAAGGTTACCAAGGCGAATGCTAAGTTGCATGGAAACGGGTACGGGTACCTCTACGGGGTGTAGGTACGGGTACCTGTACGGGGTGCCAGTACGGGACACGAAAATTTATAAAATGTAGGGCATGGGGACACAACTACATATGTTATTGAAATTAATAATTAACATGAGATCATTATTGTTTTTCAATTCATGTGTTATTAGAATTAAAGTTCCTAACAAAATCTTAAGTTTTTTTTATTCATGTTGATTATAATAAGTTGGAAGGTGTTCGTTTTTGAAGTAGAAACTCAAACGACCCTCAAAATCATAGTTTTAAATTTGGGCATGAGCTAAAACAATCCCGACCTGTGTCTAATGAGTTTCAAAAAAATGAATGTGAAATGTAAGATACATGTCCAAAAAACGAGGCGTTTCGAATAAAACCACTCGTCCAAGAAGTGTACGAAAAGTGTTATAAATTAAAACATATATCATATAAATACGTACATGTCTAAATAAATGTATGCATATACTCAAGGAGCATCCATGAAACTTGGGTATGGATATGTTAGGGTACGTGTCCGGTAAGGGGTATGGCTTCATGATAGAAGTACCCGGGTAACATAGGGGGAGCGTCTTTTGGTGCCTAAAGAGCTCGGCTAGGGCATGTGCGGCAAGGTGCCATAGGTATTCGTCTATGTTGTGAATTTCTGAGGGTGTGAAAGTGTAATGTATCTAATTAACTATATCATTTGAGGACGCGCCACAATTTGAACCTAAAAATTCAAACTTTCTTGCTTCGCTACCTATATTATTAGTTACTATTTATTTAGTATTTATTACTTACAACTTTATTTAGATGGTTTATGACTTGTTAGGTATCACAAATTGTGACATCAAAAATTTGACTGTGATTATTTTGTCCTGCTGTGATTTATTGATATTGTGTTTCGTTGCATATAATTTGTAATGTTTAAGAAAAATTGAATATTTATCACCTTGATTCACTTAGGCAAATGTCACATTATGAAAATTCATCTCCTTGACATCACCTTTCACTTTAAAAACACTGGACCAAGGTGGGTGATTGCTAAGTGCATGGAAGAGAGGGTGAAGCAAAAAGTTTCCATTATTAGAAAACTTCAGGTAATCCATCTTTGAAAATGAAGGGGTCCAAAACCAATTATCCATCATCCGCAAAGTTTGAGTGATAATTGTAGTTGTATGATCCATAGCAAAGTGAAATAAGTATGGAAAAATCTTAGCAAGAGATTTGATTTCCACCCAGTGATCAAGACAAAAATTTGTTGATACACCATTACCAACATCTCTTTTAATCCCAGAGAAGAAAGTTAAGGCTAACTTAGAACTTTGCACCCAAAAGAAGAGAGATGGTCATTAATATAAAAGGATAGGTCATATGTCCGTCTCCTTCTATCATATGTGTCTCACTCCGAGTAGTTGCACATATTGTTCGACACCATGACAAGGTGCAAAAAGGAATGCTAGCTATATTCTAAATTTCTTACCATTTTACTAGTACAAGGTAATTAAAAATCTCCCAAAGATAACACATAGGACTTGATGACAAATATGAGTGAGACTAGAGGCCGGCCATAGGCAATGACTGTAAAGCGGTTTGTGATTGCTTAGCGTTTGTAGAAAGATTGAACCACAACATTTCCACTATTTGAAAGCTTCCAAATTCCTAGCTTCATGATCAGCTAGCCATCCTGGTCGAAGAAGATTCAGTGAGTTCATGACGACAACGGAGATAATGAGGGGACTTCATCTTCGAAAATGAAGGAGTCCAAAACCAATTATCCATCATCTGCAAATTTTGACAGCTAATGATCAAAGCCAAAACCTTATCGATGCACCATTACTAATATCTCTTTTAATCCAAGAGAAAAAAGTTGAGGCTGACTTTAGAACTCTGCGCCCAAAACAAGAGATATGGTCATTAATACAAGAGGATCAGATGGATCATATGTATGTCTCCTTCTATTAAATGTGTGTCTCATTTCAAGTAGTTGCTAATATTTTTCAACACTATAGCAAGGTGCAAAGCAAGGTTAACTATATAATAAATTACGTACTATTTAGGTAGTGTTAAACATCTTCCAAAAATAAAATAAAAATAGAACACATAGGTCTTGATTGCAAACAAGTGAGACTGTGACCATAGGCGCCGAAAATGGATAGATCAAGGTGAGTGATTGTGTACTGCGTGATAGAGAGAGCAAACCAAAAAGTTCATTAGAGAGCTTCCAAATTCTTTCTTCTTCATGATAATCTAGCCATTATTGTTGAAGAATATTTAAAGTTCCTGAAGACTGTTTGCGTCAAAAGTTGGTTTTGTTATGGAATTCATTATATCTTCGGTCGATTACAACAAATTCAA